TTTTAAAACATGTAATGGTTAGCGATTACAAGTAAAAGACAAATTAAAGACTCAAAGTTGGAGAAAGGAGCAGATCATTACATTTTCATACAAAACGATGACTGCGATATTTCCACCCTGGTTGTTAGAGCATTCTAATAATTGGTATTTACGTTATTATAATTGATTTCTTGAAATGTAAGTATGGTGGTTCAAAACGTTCACACTGTATCGTGGAAGCAGCATTTATGTACTAATTATGCCCGTTGGGCGTCGTGAAATATAAGTTGGAGGCCAGAAATCTCCAGGCTAACCTTTCCTAGGCCTTTCCATCAATTTCCCCAAGTGCTACTTATTCTTTTAATATATGCTTCCAATTCTCAGAGCAATTGTTTTTGGCATACCTTCAGCTTTTAGGACTTCAAGTTAGACCTTGAGTTATGATGAAGTTCGATGATGTTACAAATACTATAAACCACAAACCAAGTGTCTCAACATCATTTGTTACTCTACGTGATTCACCCAAAATTAACACCTTGGTGGAACTTTTTGTACAGGATGAATGACCGAAGATTGTAAAAGGGTCTGACAAAAATTATTTAGTTCTGTGAAACAATTAAATGGCGCCTATCCTGACTTTTGACCTGAAGATATATCCCTTTCTTCAACTAATTATACATAGGCAGAAAGTCGGATAATCACTTGTCTATACGCAACCTTGCCGATTTCAAAAATCTTACGCAAACTCCAAAACAGCCATCATTGGTAATTTCGTGAGTATGTCGTGAGGTGTCGAGTCGCGGTTGATTATGAACACCGCTACCAAGGAACGCGTGCCAGGATATCCATAAAATCTCCCAAAAGCGAAATATCAGAAGGCAGTTAATGGACCAAGTCGAGATATATTTGCTGGCGATCTCCTGGTATCGAAGGGATATAAAGATCGTGCCTGGATACAAGCTTGGTTGCAGAACGTAACCGAATTCGCGCGAAGTCACAACCGAAGTGTGTATAATGTATGATTTTAGCACAGTTAAACAAGGAGCACATTAAACAGGCACTGGTACAATTGGTTATAATAATAATAATTCAATGAGAAGACGTAGTTTATCATAATTCTGATAAACTACGTCTTCTCACTACATTATCGAAATTTATCAAAGAGACTAATTGTTTTAAATAATTATTGTTTTCATCAGACCAATCGTGTTCTCATGATAAAAGTGAGTCACTACAAGTAGTATCAAAATTAACAATTCCAAAACCATTCATGATTTGTTGTTGTACAAATGCTTAGTTAATGCTTCAGAAGATTCCGAACTGGAAACTATGAGGAAAGTGAAAAAGTAATCGACTATATATTCGAAGAGGTGTTTAGAAGACTTCAGTGTATACAAGTTGCAACAATGTATAATATGCCTGGCAATGAAAGCTTAATGTATGCCGAAAAATACCCTACTACAAGTGTATAGATTGTCATGCTCCTGCTATACAATACGGAGAGAACATGAAGTCCAGACTAATGTGTTCTATTCCATTCTCTATCAGCTCAGTGGCACCACAGAAGCTAATCACCTAATTATTAACCAGTAGCTGCTTATGCGCACTTCATTATTTAAAGAGATTAATATCATCCGTGACACGAGCTCAATTTAACTTCAAACCATCGAAAATGGGCAGACTAACCGACCCAGTCTATCCTTTGGCAACAGTCACAACGATGACCGCTGCACAAACAATAAAGTACTTTCTCCTGCTTATCTTAAAACTAAAGGCTCATTGAGTACGGCTACCGGTACAAAGATCAAGCTTGTATATTAAACAGCTGTAATTATTGATCCTGAGTCCGAACGACCAACTGTCTTCCATTTTCAAGCCAGTAATACCACTGTAATGTTCCAGCGAGACCGATAAATATCTGGTCACTTAGTCTAATAGAAATCTTCGTAGAAATTCTTCTGAAAGTAATAACCGTTTTCTACGGAAATACAAAATCATAAAAAACTCTCTTAAAATAACCCATAACTGTTTTAACGCTCTCAGCCCATAACATGCATCTCTACTCAGCAGTAGCAGATCCTACAACATACGCATATGTTTAACAGTATGCTGTCATTATAGCCTGCAAAAACGCTTGTCTGCCACCAAGCTTTCTCGCTATACTTAAGCTTTTCGGGGCAAACCCTAAACGTTTCTTGAATCATGATACAATTACACATAACATAAACACTTCACTTAGCACTAATCTCCGGCAATTCCTTGCTTCTGACGTGAAACATACAACCTCATTAATTACTGACAACGGAGATAGAATGCCCAATAGCACACAAAACCTACGATGTTGGCCTTCTTGTGCACCCTTCCAATGATTCTAGATTCCACCTGATTGAAACCCCCATTTTCCTACCTAAAAACAAACACTTTACCCATTTTTAGCATTTCCTCCCAACATTCATGTTATTTTATCCGCACTTATTGACTAGTGAACAAAATAATTCTCCACTCACTAGTTGAGCTAATGATGTATCCAATTTCATTATCTCTCCAAAACGTCCTGTTATTTTATCTTATTCCTACATTATCTACTATCTTGAATCTCAAGCTCACTTAACTGGTCTATGATGAATTTTAATTATTGAAACCTGGTGGACAAATGGCATTTTGGATTTACACTTCGTGTAGATATTCACAAAATGTACCATAATGTTCAAAATTCAGGCAAAGGTGAAGGTTGTAAAATTATGTGTGCGACCTGTTCTCCCATGGAACATATTCTTCTCATAGGGTTGTGGACGGTTAGGTGATGCTACACTCGTCACTGTAGATGATTGTTCCCATAACAGGTTGCGTTTGTAGACCGCCAAATACTGCTCATGTGGCGGGTGTACATTTAAATCAAATATTAGCATAATTATCGTCCCTACCTATAGCTAAGTCAGTTGAAGGCTATTTCAACATGCCCTCTGTGTATTGGAATTCACCACATGATCCTACTCATTTTGATGAATCCATTAAAGTGCCAGAAGCAAACAGTTGGACACATGTGGCCAATAAACTCACTAGAAAAAGGTAGACATATGGGCTTAATTTTCATAAGCAGCGTCCCAACAAATTAGTCTTGAATTTTCAGGCATCGCTAACAAAGTTTTAGCCTGTCAACTTATTGAGCGGATGTGCTCTTTCACTTCTACTGGGATGAAATTTTCTGTGGATTCTTGTCAGAAGCTTTTCAAATACTAACTGGCACTATGTCGAAATTGTACTAAGTGATCTAAGTTGGAACAAGTTTTCCTCCTCCAGTGAGGCTAATAATACACTGCATTTTTTCATTTCACTATCAAGACTTGTTTGGTCATAATCGCTCCAATTATAACGGAAACAATGCACTTTCCTCAATGTGATTATTTCACTATCAAGCTCAGATATAAGTTCAGGAAGCCGAGAAAAATATGCTTTGTTCAACATGACTTTTCGGTATCATCTACATCTAGTTAGTATTTGAGCAAATTAAAACTTTCGATAGACAAAGGAATTGGAAGTGGAAAAAGTGATTTCAAGTTCACAAAATAAGAATTGATTTTTGACAGCTACTATGAAGAAGAAACTTTGCATTCAGCCTAACATTTCTACTGTCCTTAAAGCGGATGATGAACTTATAAAAAACCCAGCATAACTATGTGAACTTCATAGCGACGTATTTGGACAGACATTAATTAAATGTAATGAAGATGAATGTAAAATGCGATCGATAAACAAACTCACCAATAGTAAACTGAAACGCTTACCACCACACTAACTTTCCTTGACCTTGTATGACTGTGTCTTATTTATTCACCAATTACAATTCGATGTTCATTATAAAACAATATTTGCTTCGTTGACTCATTTTTCCTATTCTCTAGCTACTGCTCGGTACATTATTTATGTCTTTGTTTTTCCCTGTGGTAATAGACTGTATTGTTTCTCCTGTACACTAACAGTGTTAATTTATGTTTTAGAAACAGATTAAGTTCATCAGGCCAAATAGCTTACTTATTATGAATTTGGCTAACCCAAGACTCTGTATTCAACAGTCTATGGAATAGCCTCGAGTTGAACCTGTAGGAAATCGCTTCCTACAATGAAAGTACAATGAGCAGTTTAAGCTCACGTACATCCGCAGACCTAGAATTCACGCAGAATATTGTGAGAGATGTGTTAATGGCATTAAAACCTTTTGGAGGTGGTTACGTTTGGATACCGGCTAAAAATGGGCATTCTGACACTAATTATGCCTACTAAAATATTTGCTCTGAGCTTTGAGACAAGCACTTTCCTTAGGCAATAGAAGGTCCGATACATCGTCAGATAATTAAAAAGAAGTCTAGATTAGACGTAGACAAATATCGCCCAACCATTCACACATCCGTCGTACTATGGCAATTAATGTTCATCTTGATTAACAACACTTGATCACGTCATCGAAATGTGGCTTCATCTCCAAGCATTAAGGACGAAAAGTCGTTCAGAATAACTTGAATAGGTAATGAACAAAGAAAATGGGAGAAACCAGTTGATAATGTGAATGTTGAGTTCAACAAACCACTAAGAAATGGAGGAAACATTTCCATAGCAAAAAACTCTCCAGACATTTTGAGAAATCAAACAGTTTATTAAAACATAAAAATTGCTTTACCAATATACTGAGGTATTGTACCTGATAGAAGACTTCGTTGCCTATGATAATACAGGTTTGTCAATCTTCTACCCAAATAATGTGAAACTTAAGGTTCTGTTTGAATATCAGCGATGCAAAATATCTCAATTGTCACATGCAAAACAGTGATAAAACAGATTAGCTCAACTTGAGGTTTTCAAAAACAAATATCCATTTGCATTAAACTAAAACGGAGTGAAAATATTGATTAATCATAATAATGTACCTTCCGATCTTCATTGGAACGTGAACGGCACCGTAACCTCGCAAAACATCCTTACCAAAGACGTCCACGCCATAAGCATGAAGGACGATTTGAGGCCCTTTAAAATTCAGAAACATGAAATAACGTACAACCGAATGGGTTTGTAGACTTCCATGAAATGTCAATTGGAAAGTTGAAATTGTTCTGATCATTGCAACCAACACCTTTAATAGAAGTTTGAGTCATCCCTTCATCGAGGCCCTGTCATATTTCTGTTGTATAGGTCATTTTAGAATCTTACGGTTAATTTGGTCCAGTCTTGACCAGTTGCGAAGCAGTACTTGCACCATATATAGTCATGGAGTGGAAACTATGGAATACATCAATAGCTTTAATATCTTACGTCAGCCTTTTCAATCTGTCCAGTGACTGACAACAGAAAGTAACCACCTAAACTACCATCAGATGACATTTTCGAAATACTACGGTGCTATGATCATAGGATTAATGCCCATCTGATGGATACAAACACCAGATATTCGATTTTCAATGTCAAATTGGGGAGCGTGTAAAAACTAATGCGTATTTCCGAACTCATAATCTTATATCGCTAAAGGACTTTTACAACCCATTGTTCTCCGGGCTACTGATTCATGGGTAAACCTCTTAACCTTAACTCTTCACGCTCAACAGTAAAACTTGAGTTCTAGATCTTCCGAAACTACAGTTATCCTGCTATTGTTTACTAGGCACTAAAACTTAATCGACACATTTGAATCAATTCTCTGTGTGATGGTTCCATCAAAGAAGAGGAGTAGCCAAACATGTCAGACCTGGAAAACGGTCGAGATTTTTGGGGGGATCATTTTAGAATCTTACGGTTATTTGGTCCAGTTTGACCAGTTGCGAAACAGTACTTGCACTATAAGTAGGTACTGGGATTGGCTCTGTATCATTATCATTGTACTTTACCATCTGTTTACGTTCTATTTGGAATGGAGCGAGCCGTAAATATAGTGAGTTATTGATTCTAAAGAACTTAAGTTTTACGAGATTTTTGTGTTGAGCCTTATTAAAAGCTTCCCTGAAGTCTAAGAATGGTGCTGATACAAAGGCGATTTCGTCTCATTTCAAATTTAGATAATTCAGGTAGTCTACTAGGCATGTATCGTATCACTTAGGCACCAGAAACCACGCTGGGATGTCGAGACGGAATTATTAGTATGTAGCTGATGGACTACCGCCGCCTTAGGTACTTTTTCTGCCACTTCAGATACCAGTGAAGTCGTGTTTATGGGCTAGTAACTTAAAACGTTTGCTTCAGGTTCTGTCGTAATTTTGGGGATGATTTGTCTGATTTTCCAGGTAGTAGGGTAACACGCTGTAGAGAGTGATACCGCAAATAGTTTAAGCAGTATAACATACAGATCATCGCCTCCGATTTTTGGCCTGCTAGCTGGAATACCACCTAGTGTAGGAGTGTTTCAGCGTACTAATCACCTTTGGAATATTCTGAGCGTTGAAGCCTACATAAGTAATTTTGTAACAGCTTAGGTTGTTTGGTTAAGAGTTGACCCCAAACAACCAAGCATATGCCAAAACAGTATTGTTCAAGTATTCATTCACTTCCTTATTTTGTATAAGCGTTATATTCCCTATTATCTTATATTGAATGTTGAGAGCCTTTGTTTGTCTGAACAGATAATCTCACGCTCCACTGTGACTGCGCAAAGATCGAAATAAAGACCTATTCACTACTTCTCTGGTTTCTTCTATCAATAGCACGAGGGTTACCATAAGGCACGAAAATTTCACAGGAAGGTACTGGTGTGTCAGCGAAATGGAACTCACCAACAGACTAAAATGTCATAGAGTTTACAACACTACATTAACGTCAAACAATTCTTGTACTACTGATACATATTACCCTGATACCATCACCCAATGTAGTCTAGTTTAGTACTGATAAAGTTCGAGATGTCGGAATGAGGGAATTCCGGTCCAATCAAATATAAGTCGCTGGTGTGTGTCAAAAATGTCACCTATACTGTAGTACAAGGAAGAACTTACTGTGATCTGACTACTTAAGGTGTTTGGTTTGTTCGTGCTTGTCTGATTCTTGGATTTTTGTACTAATAACTCTATTGTCATTGGTATGATCTCAATTAACTTCCATGAAAATCATAAATCAATAAGAGGTTCATTAAGAAGCTCAATGTGCACACAGGCAGTAATATTTCATTGTTTGGTAGTTGTTGTAACTGTGAGGCAAGACGGTAGCAGGAATATGAAAATGCTGGTCCTACTTGTGTGTCAAGCCCCCGCAAGACGTGGAGTTTAATACAAACAGAGAATTTTATTCTGCAAAGTTATTTGTTGGATGGTGATATTCCTTTTATATCCGCCCAACCCTATCTGTGAGCACGCTTTTTGTGTGAATCAACTCGACAGTTCAGATGACAATCATCAGATTAATTTCACCACTGATGTGATCAGTTCAAGCGCTCGGGAACTCAAGATAGCCTCCAACCAAGAAGAAAAATATACAATAAATTGTAACTGTAACACATTGTAGCGGCAAATAAAATCTCCGAAATAAATAGCTCTGCAAGTTTTCGACATTGGATGCTGAACACATGTTTTAATGGACTCACCTAACTGAAAACGCTCGATCATGCATCCGCACCAGATCGCTAGGGGGAACGCCGTGCTCAACATTTACTGCAATCGGTAGCCAGATTAGATCAGACGATTCTCGATATATTGATAGCCTATCAAATATATCTTCGAACCTCCTCGCTTCTGTCTTTTTATTTCACTTGGTGGGTACGCTTCATATTAGGTGCTACTGGTTAAAGCGTTGTCAAACTCCAAATACCTGTGGCACCTTCAACATCAATTAGTTAGGCATTTAACTAAAAGTTTAGAAAATTACCTACTTATCGGCTATAATACATCATTCAAACATGTTCAAAAATACAACATTTCCCTCCTAATCTTAGTGTTGCATTGAGTATTGACGTAAGCTTCTTCACTGTCCCTTCTGATTTTTTGAAAGTTTGTGATCATTGGGAATTTGCACAAACCAAGTCCGACTGCAACTACGTACAACACAGAGCCGAACTTTGCGTCATGCCGACGTTCTCATACTTGACTAGCTTTGCTCGCACAAATAATATCATGTATTTCACATCGAGTTTGGTAAGCAAATGCACTTGATTTTGAGTACATCTGGATTGACGATGATTTTTAACGCTATATCATGAGGTGGTAGGTATATTACAGCCGCTCTGAACTTATTATTGTCCTTCCAAACGTTGACAGAACTTGTGCGAGAATATTATTTCTTCTATACTCTTTTTTCCACAAAAAATCTCGACCGTTTTCCAGTTCTGACATGTTTGGCTACTCCTCTTCTTTGATGGAACCATCACACAGAGAATCGATTCAAATGTGTCGATTAAGTTTTAGTGCCTAGTAAACAATAGCAGGATAACTGTAGTTTCGGAAGATCTAGAACTCAAGTTTTACTGTTGAGCGTGAAGAGTTAAGGTTAAGAGGTTTACCCATGAATCAGTAGCCCGGAGAACAATGGGTTGTAAAAGTCCTTTAGCGATATAAGATTATGAGTTCGGAAATACGCATTAGTTTTTACACGCTCCCCAATTTGACATTGAAAATCGAATATCTGGTGTTTGTATCCATCAGATGGGCATTAATCCTATGATCATAGCACCGTAGTATTTCGAAAATGTCATCTGATGGTAGTTTAGGTGGTTACTTTCTGTTGTCAGTCACTGGACAGATTGAAAAGGCTGACGTAAGATATTAAAGCTATTGATGTATTCCATAGTTTCCACTCCATGACTATATATGGTGCAAGTACTGCTTCGCAACTGGTCAAGACTGGACCAAATTAACCGTAAGATTCTAAAATGACCTATACAACAGAAATATGACAGGGCCTCGATGAAGGGATGACTCAAACTTCTATTAAAGGTGTTGGTTGCAATGATCAGAACAATTTCAACTTTCCAATTGACATTTCATGGAAGTCTACAAACCCATTCGGTTGTACGTTATTTCATGTTTCTGAATTTTAAAGGGCCTCAAATCGTCCTTCATGCTTATGGCGTGGACGTCTTTGGTAAGGATGTTTTGCGAGGTTACGGTGCCGTTCACGTTCCAATGAAGATCGGAAGGTACATTATTATGATTAATCAATATTTTCACTCCGTTTTAGTTTAATGCAAATGGATATTTGTTTTTGAAAACCTCAAGTTGAGCTAATCTGTTTTATCACTGTTTTGCATGTGACAATTGAGATATTTTGCATCGCTGATATTCAAACAGAACCTTAAGTTTCACATTATTTGGGTAGAAGATTGACAAACCTGTATTATCATAGGCAATGAAGTCTTCTGCTAGGTTCATTATCTGCTTAGGAGCCTCGTGATAGTATAGGACTTGTTCAACCGTGCTGTGAATATTATTGTGGTCTCAACGTTGCTCATATAAACATTTGGATAAATGTATACCATCGATAGCCAACACACATCACCGAATGTATTTCTATGATGATATATGTATAATATCATTGTGTAGAAACATGTTTCATCGGAAACAATCATAAAACTGCATGTTCTGAAATGATTTATATTCAGAAGTTCATTATTTCTTTTAATTACCGCACATTAATCACTAGATATGATTTAATTCCGTGTGATAACATTCAAGAAGTTGAATAAAGTGTCGAAATCACGATGATATATTCAGAAATTGATGGGTCAAACATGAGATCAAACTTTCTGGTTAAGTTTTGTTAACAAGTTCAGTGTTTTTTATTTTTAACTGAGAGGTGAAGATTTATGTAATTCACCTACTTTTCATCAGTAGTTTGCTTTTATTTACAGATTGTTTCTGCCATTATATTGGAACCACACATGGATTAATGTTTGTGAATGTTCACCACTTATTTTTAAAGTTCATAACACTCGAAAACTGTGCGCTACAGCTAGGTTAACTTAACGTATAAGAAAGTGTTAGTTCTCGAATTACCTGCATATTGGTACTAAGACATGTTTAAAGCAGTTCTTTAAACTAATTAGTGTTTATACTTTTGAATTTAATAGAACAGTTCGTTGTCTGCATTTTGATTATTTTAAAGTTGCTTTTGAATATAATTTCCTGTCATCTACTCCACCTGACAAATGACTGGGAATTTTAGCTTTTAAGTTTAAAATACTGGCAACTGACTTGCCAAATATAGTTTTACAATTTTTATTCTTCTTAACACGTTTATAACTGTTCTGGTGAACAAACTATTATCTGCTTTATTTCAGACGATGTCACATCCGTTGATGATACTAGGTTATTGTTAATTTATGTGAATAGACTTACTCATCTTATCCATTTGTTCTTATATATCTTCATGTTAGCTATTTTTGTTATATAAAGCCAATTACTATTATC